ACGCACGACCCCACGCACGACCCCAGGCACGACCCCACGCACGACCCAACGCACGACCCCACGCCCGAGCCCACGCACGAGCCCACGGGCGCCCCGACGGCGGCCCCCACGTCCGACCCGTCGGCCGCGCCCACGGGCGTGCCGACGGCCGACCCGTCGGCCGCGCCCACGGGCGCGCCCACGGCCGACCCGTCGGCCGCGCCCACGGCCGACCCGACGGCCGACCCGTCGGCCGTGCCCACGGCCGTGCCGACGGCCGACCCGTCGGCCGCGCCCACGGGCGCGCCCACGGCCGACCCGTCGGCCGCGCCCACGGCCGACCCGTCGGCCGCGCCCACGGCCGCGCCCACGGCCGACCCGTCGGCCGGGCCCACGGCCGACCCGTCCGCCGCGCCCACGGCCGACCCGTCGGCGGATCCGACGGCGGACCCGACGGGCATGCCCACGGCCGACACGACGGGCGCGCCCACGGCCGCGCCGACGGCGGGCCCCACGTCCGACCCGACAGCCGCGCCGACGGCCGGGCCCACGACCGACCCGACGTCCGCGCCCACGGGCACGCCCACGACCGACCCGTCGGCCGCGCCCACGGCCATGCCCACGACCGACCCGACCGCGCCGCTGCTCATCGCCGAGTGCCTCGTCGAAGAGGCGTACTACGTGTTCGGCTTGGACGCGAGCCTGTCGATGTACGAAGCGGGTTGGGGCATTGCTCGCAACTTCGCCCTTGATATGGCGAAGACGCTGCTCGATTTGAACGTCGATAGGCTTGCTGATGGCAAAGAGCCGCACCAGGTGGCGGCTTACTGGTTCAACGGGAACCACCTTGACTCGCCGGAACTGGTGACAGGTTTCACGGACGACTACACCACTTTCTCTAACGCCATACCCGACGACTACAATGATGTGGCGGAGCAGCACACAAACCACCCCGAAGGTTTCCAGCTAGCCGCGGAATTACTGGATGCCGTCCATTCGCAGTTCAAGAGCCACGTGCTCATCACCGACGGCGCGCCGCATACGGCAAGTGAAGCCTGCGAACAGGGAGAAAAGCTGCTGGCTAGCGACGCCGAAACGTTCCTGACTATCGATGCGATGAATTGCAGAGCGGAATGCGCGGAATACAACACGTGCGATGCGACGAGCTGCGTGGCCGAGGGACGCCCGTTCATCAAAGCTGATGATTGCCCAAACAACAACAATTACAAGAAGGCCACGTCCTGCCAATGCGCCGTTCACGTCGCGGAAAGATTCAACGCGAGAGAGGGCTTCTCGACGACGGTCGTGGGCGTGCAGAACTACATGAACGGAGGAAAGTACGAGAAGGTCTTCGAGCTGATGGCGTCGACCCCGGACCTGTTCATTGACGCGATGAGCGGCGAGCTCGGGACCGACGACGTCACCGAATTCGTGGACCGGACGCTGCGAGCCGCGTGCAACACGCCGTACCAGAAGTGCCAACGGCTCAACGACGTCTCGACGTTCCCGCGCGACGAGTACGCCGACGGCGACGACGAGTTCCAGCACAAGAGCTGGGCCATCGGCTGCGACTTCGCCGAGAAGTACCCGGACCTTCCCGAAGGGTGCGACGCCGATTGCGACGGTGGAGACGGAGGAGGCGAAGGCGTCGGAGGCTGCTGCGGCGAAACCTGCAGCGGAAACTGCGACACTTC